TGCCTGAGTGGGTTTTTTTGTTTGTGTGTTTTTTTAAAAAAAGCTAAAGTGGATAAAGAGAAATACTTTTAAGTGATGGTATATGGAGGGGATTATAATCAATGTAATGAAACAAGTTATATGAATTGCTGAATGTGAAACCGATGGTGTGCCCTGTAAACTTTCACTCAGTCTACAGTAAAAACCTTAAATTAAAAAAATTTTTTTAAAGTGCTCAGGAAGCCATAACCACGATTGGAAGGCCCCTGGGTTGCCTTTCGTTGGTGTGGCTGGGATTTTGAGAATACTGTGATAAGGTTTTGTGTCAACTTGGCTGAACCAGGATTCTCAGAGGCCGTTCCTCAGGATGTGACCTAATACAATGTAATCACATCTATGATGTGATCTGCTATGAGCAGCCAGTCAATTGAAAGGAAGTTTCCTCAGGGGTATGACCTAATTCTAATTTATTGGACACTGGAGTCGACCTTGTTACTTTCTGCTGTGTCTGGATCCTGCGTCTGGCTCATCATTTGACCTCTGTTTCTTTGGATTTAAGCAAGTGACCTACTCAACTGCCTGTTGATCCTGGAAGTCATCAGCAGCCTGCTTTCTTACCTGCCCAACCTGCCTGCCTGCTGTCTAACCAGCTGATATTGGTTCATCAGAGCTGCAGCTACATGAGTCAGAAGCGTCCAGACTAACATCTGACCCACAGACTGGGAACTTGCCCACCTCTTCAACTGTGCAAGCCATTTCTCCTTGATCTAAAACTTCTCTTTACATATAAGCTTTACTGGTTTTGCTTCTCTAAAGAGCCCAACCTAAGACAAATGCCTTCTGACTTATAACCGACCCCAAGGCTACTTTAGAACTCTTTTATTTGATCACCTCTAACAAAAGTATGAAATGAAACACCTCTGAATCCAGAGAGACATTTCCGAGAACATGTTGTTCTCAGGTACCGTGGAGGTGTGTCTTGATGCCATTGTTCCTCATTTGTTACCCAAATGTTGACCGTTTGAGCTCATCATATCACAGTAACAGTTAGGCCTAGGCCACGTAGACAAGAGAATCAAGTGGAAATTCAATGAGCTGCATGTTCCTTTGTATACCCAATCCTTTCTTCAGCAGACTCTCTGCCACTCTGAACATCCATTTAGCACTGTTATTACTTCCTACTTGTGTATACCAGGCAGATGATAGGCTCTCTGGGATGGCAGTGACATCTTCCTCTGCACCCAGTTCAGCACACACAGCTGAAGTCTCCCTCACACTGCCCCCTCCCCATCATAGACTGATAGTGGGGCCTTCCTGCTCTGAACCTGTTTGGTCATCTGTGAATGTGACAGGGTACTTACTATTATCTAGAGGGCTGTGTGAGTCTGGCTTGGGGCAAAGCACAACAGTTCCTTTGCGTCGGATGCAGTCGTGGCCACAAGTACGGAAATACGGAGTCAACTAAAGAAAAAGAGGCTCAGCTCAAATGTGCTTCAGAGCAAAATACCATTATTCTTACTGTCACCAAAATTTGTCTTCCCTTTTTTCTTCTTTTAACCTTGTAACAGGATGTTATTTCCTTGGTCACGCTCTAATAAGATGCTATAATCCAAACTAGTGACCAAGACAGAAACACCTCAAGATTTCTGAACCTAAACACTGTATGCTCTCAAAACGTGTTGGTCTCCTTATCTAACAGGAGTAGGGCACATCTAGCACATACACAAATACTTCTAAAAAGACAGAGCACCAGCACTCCTTGTTGACAGAAGAACTTTATAACATGCAGTTCCTCTAAGACTAGGGACATCTGTACTTCCCTGGAAAAAGGGTGCAGTCATAATATGCCAACGGATGTCTGCTCCCGCACCAGAGCACAGCCCTTGTGTTCCAGGGAATGAAACAAGGCTCTTTACTACCATGGGCGTGGCTCTGTCTCTGGCCCTCTGTGTCCCCACATCATAAACTCAGAGCTGAAGGAGACCTGAGAGCCTTTTTACATCTTCCTGTTCCTAAACTGAGGGCAAGTGCTCTTCAGAGTCCATGAACTGATCTGGAACCCAGGATTTGTGATTTCAAATCCTCTGTCATTTCATTTTTCAGTGAAAACTGAAGCTTGGGGAGGTTAAATCTTATCCCTGAAATACTCTGAGGCTATGGACAGAAAAAGGGAATTAAAGCATTGCAGGAAGTCAAGTGTCACTAATACACGAGGGCTCATACAAGAATTCCAGTATCTACAAGGTCAGTTTCTTGACCTCACCACTGAAGACAGACAAAGGATTGCCCCCCTCATCACCATCACTCAATTTGAGACTGCTGGCAGAAGCAAATTAGGGAACTCAACTCCAACTTTAAAAGGATTCATCAAAAAGCAATTAATAGCAAAGCATTCTTTTCACTTCCCCCTCCACCCACCATGAAGCACCTGGTTAAAGTACCTGTATCACAGCACCTTCACTTTCCCCACTGACTGGGACCACCACAGACGTCCGGGTTAGCTTGCTCTGTGTAGATGAGTGAGACAAAGTCAAGAGTTATAAGTCACTGACACGGCATAAATACACAATCAAACATAAATGAAAACACACAAACAGCAGAAAACGATGATTGGGACCTCTTAAAATTTTTACACAATGTGCATCAAAAGAGTAAAGGTTTTAGCCCACAGATTGGGCAATTTTTTACAATTACATATCAGACAAGGGACTAATTCATAAAATTCATAAAAAACTACACCTTTACTAGAAAAAGATAGCCCAGAACAGCTGTATTTTCAAACTGCTGACCTTGCGGTTCGCAGCCCAATTCGTAACCACTACGCTACCAGAGTTCCTGTTCATTAGCCATTGTTAAATGTCTATGAATCAGTTCCAACTAATAGCAACCCTGTGTAGGGTTTCCAATTATTTCTAATTATTAAGGCCACAGATAACTCCTGAATACGCCCGAAAAACAGAAGCAGATGACCATATCAGCACATGTCCAGAAATGAGATAAAGTGACTGAGGCAAATGAGCTGGAAGTAGAACTACACTCCATACTGGAAGATGGACAGGCTTTGGAAATGTCTGAGAAGGAATTCCTAAAAATGATTATAAAAGGTATCAAAACACTGTACAATGGAGTTGAGGAAAATAAGAAGTCAGGAAAGTGCTACAGGAACAATCAAATAAAATGTATACAGCATCGGAAACATTTCAAAACCTACAGAAAAGTCCAAACAATAATAGAACATCAGAAATGGACAATACACTGAAAGAACAAAAGAGTAGAAATGAAGAGATAGAAGCCAGAGCTAGTGAGCTAGAAGATAAATCTCTCAACACCACTAAGATAGAAGAAGAAGAGCAAACACAAAAAAGGATTTAAAAACAAATCTGAAGAAGGCCTAAGATTCATGTTGGACAACATGAAGAGGAATAACAATTTCTGGAACAGGAACAATCACACAAGTCCACAGAGGAGATAGTTGAAGAACTTCTGGAAGAAAATGTTCCTTTCCTAACATACTGAAAAGTGAAAAGATTAGCATTCAAGAAGGTCAGCGAACCCCAGGATGGATAGACCCTAGAAGACAATCACCAAGGCATATAATAAGCTTTCCAAAATCAAAGATAAGGACAGGATCTTGAAAGCAGCTAGGGAAAAGAGAAATGTAACATACAAAGGCAAGCAAATCAGATTAAGCTCGGATTTCTCAACAGACACCATGCAGGCAAGAAGGCAATGGGGAGGCATATATAAAATCCTGAAAGAAAAAAACTGCCACTCAAGAATCCTCTACCCAGCAAAGCTGTCAATCAAATATGGTGTAATCAAAACATTCCAGGATAAACAGAAGCTAAGGGATTTTGCCAAAGTCAATCCTGCTATGAAAAACACCCTAAAGGAAGTTCTGTGGACTGAAACCAACAAGAACAGACAACTACAGAATGCCGTATGTGGCAGTATAAGAACTGAGGATCTGGGAGGTCAGTTAATAATCAAAACAATTACAATATAAAAGAAGGAAAATACAGAGGAACAGAGATCCAAGTGGTGAGAAGGTCAGGTAGATTACAGGATAAAATAGAATGTCTTAAATGGAGGGTAGAACTAATAGAATATTAGGTAACCAAAATGGGGTTGGGGTGCGGTGTTTAGTTTGGGTGTTGGGGGGCAATACAAGAAGGGGGGAAGAGGCAGAAGAACAAGATAGGGGAACACTGAGATAGGTTTGCATGGCCTAGTGGGACAGAGGTAAATAGTGATGAATGCTCAACCTTAGAAAAACAGGGCTCTGGGATACAGGGATCTAGATATAGCTTGAAGAGGGGAAATACTAAAATCCTTAACTGGCTTATGAATATTAGTTTCCCTTGTCTACGACTGTAAAATAGACACTTGCGTGGGATAGAAAGGAATGCTGGGAAACATGGTTACAGAAAACTTGTAAGCCTTCTTCAGCCTATAACTGACTGGAATATCTAAAAGGGGTTCTAGAACTTGCCCAGTCAAATAGGCCTTGTACAAAGCCTTCACAGAGTATAGGACCTTAGGTGGAATCCTGAGTCCCATCCAGAACCTTATGAGGTGAGACATTTCCACTAGCAAGGACAAGCAGACCAGCCTGGAACAGCTAGAGCAAAGAAGATACATCTTCAAAGATTATCAGGAAAAACCCAAAACAAAAATGTCAGCATGACTGGCTACTACAAGAATAAGCAAGCTAGCTGTCTGTCAGGAAGCTATCAAGGCAACCAATCAAATTCTTTCAGGACAAACTCTCCTCTAAGACTGAAACTCAGAGGGAACACACAAACAGGCATGTAAGCTTGCTGGCAACCAGATAGGTCTACTGGTGAGTGGAAGAGGGGAAAAAGCAGCAATGAAGAAATGGGTTGAGTTCATCCACAGTCCATTTACTCCCCTGACCTGGAGATAAGAGAGAGAAGAGGAAGGGCTGGTTGGTCCAAAGTGTGGTGAGACGTGAGGACACTTGAGCCCATGGACAAGGACATAGCCACAGAGGGCGAGAGCTGAGAGTGAAGCATCCAGCTGATGTGAAGTGAGGGGAGATGTACAAGAACACCCCGACTTTTGACCTCACCTCAATGGCTTGATAACCAGAACTCAACTAGAGGAAGATTACAAAAAAAAATTTTTTTTGATAAAGGAAACAAGGGTAAATTGCTACAGTTTGATGAACCTGACCTATACTCATGGAGATAGTAGCTCAAAGTACCAACAGAGAGGGAAGGAGTTTTCACATGAAGTATCAGTGCTATCCCCTCTGTATACAGGGTAGACACAGACAGGCAACTTAGACACTGGCTACCTAAAATGATGGGGCGTTAAAGGCACAATGTGACTGACAAGGTTTCAAGAGGGAGTTTAGTTTAGAGTATGGGGCAAAGAAAGAGTCCCCACTGAATAGTTTTCATCTTGTCTAGATGGGTCTGATAAAAAGAGATGGGGATAAGAGTCATAAGATTCAACAGTGACTAATTGTTATGACTACTGCTTCTGTCACAATTGTAACGGTACAAGTTTTGTAACAAAAACAGGGGAGTGGTTAATCTTACAGTCCAGAATCAGGACCCTAGTACCATCAAGGGAGAAGAGAACAAGCAGAATGTGAGACCTTATCCAGAGAAGCAGCCATGTCAGAGACAGAGGCAGAGATGGGGTCATGGAGAGGGGGAGGGGCTGAGGACTCTAGACTTATGGGAAGAGAGGGACTAAGAGCTGGTGGCCAGGACTCAGACTTGAAGAATGTGCCCTTTGGAGGTATAAATTATTATATATGCCTGAATGTTTTGTTGTTTTTAAAAAAAAAAAGCTAAAGTGAGTAGAGAGAAATACTGTTAACTGATAGTACATGGAGGGGATTATAATCATTGTAATGAAACAAGATGTACGATTTGTTTAATGTAACTGATGATCTGCCCTGTAAACTTTAACTCACTCTACAATAAAAACCTTTTAAAAAGTTAAGAACTACATGAGGGAACAGATCAGAGACTGCCAATGAAGAAGCCATTCTTCCCAGCCCAATGCTGTGTGAATGAGGGCTCATTTTGTACTTCTGAAACTGATCCCTTTGGTTGGCTTTAGATTCACAGTGACATTTCCAAGGATGCTGACAGGCACTTATTATGACTTGGCAGAGGACAATTAGTACCCCCATGGCCCAATTTTCAGCCAAGCAGTAGATAAGTATATAGGGAGACAACAGCACTAGTAAGGTTTGCTCATTGTGGAAAGGTCAATCATTCAAACTCAAAAGGGCAACATTTACCTAAGGACAAAGTTGAGAAGGGATGGGAAAATGGGAGGAAAGCAAATAGGAAGACATGAAAGATGTGTGATAACTGTTTTGTATCGAGGAGATTGGAATTACTGAGATGAAACAAAGTGTACAATTTGTTGAATGTAAAATTGATGTAAATCTTCACTCAATTTACAATAAAAAGTTTTTTGTTTTTTTTTTTTTTAAAAAAGGACAGTCCTCTACTCCCTCAAGAGTAAGGAAAAATCTGCATTTCCCTGGAGTGTCCACATTTTTCTTCAACAAAGAAAAGCTGAAGGTTGAAGGTTTGAGTGATGCTATGGGAATGAGGGGGGAAGATACCTCCCATACAGTAGAAAATCCAAGAACTGTATTATTTTGTACAAGAGCCATGTATCTGTCTCCAAGGGGACTGGTTGTAAAATTCACTTCCACTGACTTCTCGTTCTTCTTACAAGCAGTGATGTTTGGATCCCACAGACTTCCTGTGAGTCAAGGGAGAAATCTACAGATGAGTTGCTAACTCTATCTTAATTTCAATCCCCAAAGGTATTTACAACAGTAAATCTGAAATCAAAGTTTTCAGTCACACACCCAAGAGACAGGGACTTAACTGCACAGTGCACTTTTTATCATTGCCTCAGGAATCTCATAGTACCTGCTATCCAAGATAGTTCGGGAGCTCCCAAGTCACTGCTTTGCAAATAAAGACTAGGTTAGTTTCCAGGAACATGGTAAACAAAATTTTCTTTTTCTTACCTAGGAGACCATTTCAGGCCCTAGCTCAGAATTGTATGTAGCAGTTTAGGGCTAGAACTGATCCAAGGCCCTTGGACTTCCTCACTCCCTCACAGATCTCTGTTGGTGGGGTGGAGGCAAGGGAGGAACTTGCAGAGATCCAAGTCTGCCTTCCAAAACATGTGCTGTAGCTTAGTCTGAAAGGGTGCAAAGGGGTGCCTTTGGGCTGGGTGCTGATCACCCCCAAATAGCCACTAGCCTCCTTAGCATTCTAAGACACATCACCCAGAAACTGGAACTGTAAGAGATGCATCCTAAGCGGGCAGCTTTATGTGACTGTGCTCCACATGCCTTAGGTCTACTGAAAGTCTGTCCTTCCCCCAGACAGGCTGTTCAACAGGAAGTCTGGTGCCTAGCTGTGCCTCTCTTCCCTGCCTGAGTGCCCTGGATAAATAACTGCACCCTGGACCTCAGTGTCTTCATCTGTAACAGGATGGATTTCACTGTGTTGGCTCAAGATAGGGTTTGCAACATCTCGACTTACCTGCCTCAATGCACTTTTTCTTGTATTTCATTATGTGGTCCAGGCAGCCTGGAAATTCATATTTCTATGTTTTAGAAAATGGTTCTCCATACCTTTGCAACACACACATGCTTACACATATATGCTGTTAATGAACTAAAAAACATTCCAGATGTGAACCAAGATAGGGAATTTAAACAGGACACCAACATTTTACTATCAAACAAGATCATCTGCCCATGAAATGATATCAAGAATTTAATTTAAATGCAACCTTTACCTAAACAGTACCTATGACCCATCTAAGCAAAGACTTGGGAGACTGCATAGAACCCAGCCATTCTTTAATATATTCAGGTAGTTTTCCCTCCTGGAGATGGAACTTAACCTTCCACAAACCTTTCCCCTATTCAGGGTGGGGTAGATTTGGTGATTTGCTTCCAAAGAACAGAGTTGGGGAAAGGAAACAGAGTAACTTTACAACTGAAGAAACCCAGCAAGCACTACCTCAGTCAAGTGGTGAATAGTCAGTCACATCACCAGTGATGTCATATGTCATGTGCCTCCTGATATGATGTCATGAATAGGCACTTCACTGGTATTCTCACCCAAAACCCTCAATCCTGGTGTAACCGTGAGCAATCCCCAATCAGATCCCCGCTAGGGGGGACATGCTACAGGATGGCTGACCTGTAGACAAGGTCATGGAAGACAAGGGAAGATTGAGGGACTGCCCAGTCAGATCCCCATTAGGGGGACATGCTGCAGGATGGCTGACCTGTAGACAAGGTCATGGAAGACAAGGGAAGACTGAGGGACTGCCACCGTAGAGACTAAGATACAGTTACGTGCAAAGCGGTTCCTTAGATTGGATGCTGGAACAGAAAGAGGACATTCATGGGAAAACAGATAAAATCTAAATGAAGTCTGGAGTTTAATTAGTTAATATTAATGTAACAATGTGGGTTTCTTAGTTTAGGCTTCTTAGTACTGGTAATGTAACATGTTAGTAACAGGAGCATATGCAAATGTTATATGACCGGGCTTCAAAAGGTTCGTGGAAAAATCCCATTTTCTGAATTCCTTTGTAACTTTTCTGTAAATCTATAAAAAGTATTCCAAAATAAAAATTTTATTTAAAAAAAAGGCTTGGTATCATCAAAGCTGGAAAGTAATATACAGTAAATTCTACAGCATTAAGAATACAATCATAATCTCAAAGAAAAAGTCAATTTCATTTGGCTTCGATGCTTCTCCTGAGAGACAGAAGGGACAGAGGTATGAAACTAGATGGGGCTGGGGAGGAAAGTGCTGTACCTGGCTCGGTGCCAGGTCTTCAGACACATTGTCCTGCCTCATCCTCATGGCATTCCTGTGTGTGACATTGCCGGTGTGATAGTAATGACCCTGTATCACAGAACAGGTGAAAAACTCAGTCCCAATCTGCCTTTCATGGACATCTCAGGAGACAAGGTAGCTAGAGGCCACAGATGCTCAGAGACCCAGCCACACATTATTAAACATAGCCTGCTGAGAGCCAAGCCTGGACCAGACTTTTACAATGACTAGCATGACGAGTAGCTAATGTACACTGATCAAGAGGATCTGAGTTTAAATGCCAGATTCACTTTTACTAAGTGTGAACCCAGGGCATCTGTAGAAGAGGGCTTTCCCAACCTCAGGGTTATTGGGAGGCTTTACCAAGATGATATAAGTCAAGTACTTAGCTCAATACCTGGCACACAGAACACAGAACGGGCTTTTTCCACACTGTGAGCAAGGTGTGGGGGTATTATTGTGTCCATTTTACAGATGAGGATGGTGAGGCTGGCAAGGCCATACACCATTCTCTAGTACTCCCCAGTGTTGTGTACCAAGCCACACAGCAAGCGTTCCAGCAAGGCAGAGAATAAAATAGAGGACGTTTACCTGGTGAGGTGAAATTCACAGACAAGGATGGACCATCTTCATTCATATTTGCAGTGGGGATATTATGGGCCCCAATGAAATAAACTGTGTTCAGCTCTACAGGAAAGCCTATGTAGGAGAATGTCCACTGAAAGGCAAGCAAGGAACCCATGAATTTCCTAAACACTGCAGGCACCAACAGTACCTTTGGGTGCTGCTCTTTTTATTTACACTTCATTCCTTAGCCTACTGCTGAAACTTGTGAAGTCTCTTGTTACATCACTTTAAGAATGGACCCCATGATCTGTCAATGAAACCCCCAGAATCAGAGAAGCATACAAATTTTAAAGCCAGTTTATGATTTAAATCCAACTTTCCTCACTTTAATGATGGGAAAGCTGAATGAAGCCCAGAATACTGACTTGCCCTAGGTACATAGCAGACAAGTAGCAAAGCGTGATTTGAATCCAGGCATCCTGGTCCCAGTGTGTTTGTGCAGGATGTCCCCCAGGTCCCCTCAAGTAAAGGAGCTAGTGGAGTGAGTATCTGAAAGGGCTTACTTTGGCACCTGAAGGTCTGGTCTGCCAGTGGAATGCCTCTGTGTAGTTGCACCTCATGCAGGTATAGGACTGGAAGCTGCTTTTGCTGGTCACACAGATCTTGGTGGCCTTCAGTAAACGGATGCTGGCTACCAAGATACACAAGAAGGCAGTGATTTACATAACATTTGCTATGTTGCTGCTAACTGCAAGTTTAGAGGTTCAAACTCACTAGTCACTTCATGGGGAAAAGATGAGGTGGTCTGCTCCTGTAAAGATTTACAGTTTTGGAAACTGAGGGAGCAATTCAACTGCCCGATGGCTGCTATGGGTCAGAACCGATTCATTGGCAGTGGGTATGCGGCAGGTATGACATTACACGCTTTGCATGCCTTATCTCAGTTCATATTCACAACAATTCTAAAAGGCACACACTGTTACTGCCCCCAGTTTGCAGATAGGGAAAGTGCCCCTAGGGCAGTTTCAGGGAGCTTTGCCTAAGTGTACAAAGCTCATCAGTGGCAGAGTATGGATGCAAATCCCAAAGCGCAAGCTCTTTCCCAGCCACAGATGAGCTTGGATTTCATAAGACACCTGCGAAGCAGACTGTAGCTCGGCAGTTCACCAGATCTCTTTCAAGAGGAACAAGCCTGCCTTGGGGAGCCCCCACAAAGACCCTCTAACATGTCCTCACTAATCCACACCAGTTCTGAGTGCATCTTTGCTGGTGCCTATCCGTCTCCCTGGGATGCCCTTTCCTACCATTCCCTGCCTCTCAAAGGTATAGTCCTTCAAGACTCAGCTCAGGTAGGATGAGCTCATCAGAAGAGATTCCAAGTTGCTCCGTAGTGTAATCTTTAGATGGCCTTTAGAAAGTGGAAACATAATCTGCTACCTGAGTAGGTGGATTTCTGGTGTGGCGCTGTAGATCAGCATTGCATTGTGAACCACAAGGTTGGCAGTTCAAATCCACCAGCTGCTCCTCGGAAGCCCTACCCAGGGTCGCTATGAGCAGGTCTGACTCGACAGCACTTAACAACACCTGAGCAGATACTTTTCCTAGATTGGGGCGATACTCTTCTAAGAAGTATTACATACAGGAAAGTACACAGATACAGGTGTTTGTTGTTAAGTGCTGTTGAGTCGTTGGTTGTAACCCATAGTGACCCTGTTTAGGGTTTCCAAGGAGCGAGCGGAGAATTTGAACTGCCAACCTTGTAGCGTGCCACACCAGGACTCCAGATATAAGGGTACCACTCGATATATTTTCACACCCATGTAATCAGGAGCCAGTTAAGCAACAGCACATTCCAAACACCTGAGCAGCCCATTCCTGCTTCCTTTCAAGTCCTCCTCCTCATTCAAGAGTAATCACTATCCTGACTTGTAATTGCTTAATTTTGCAGTTTTTTTCACATTTTGTAAATGGAATCCTAGGGTATGCACAGCTCTAATGTGTATGCTGTTAAGTGCTACTGAGTCCGTTCCGACTTGTAGCAACTCAGTATAGGGTTTCCGAGGAGTGGCTGGTCAATTTAAACCATTGACTTTGTGGTTCCAAACCAACCTTGCAGACCAGTGCTTCATCCCACAGCACCACACCAGGACTACAATAATGGATATAGAAGTGCACAAATGCAGTCTTTTGAATTTAGTTTCTTATGTTTGTGAGATCCATCCATACTGCAGTGTATAGGTTGTGCATTCTCATTGCTGTATAGGGTTCCACCACGTGAATCACTTCTACTGTTGTTGCACATTTGAAAGCCTTCCAGTTTCTGACTGTTTTGAACAGTGCTATTATCAACATTCTAGTATGTGGTTTTTGGTGCATGTAGGTATTTTTGTTGGGTATATGCTTAGGAAAATGCCCTGGTTGCACAAAAGGTTAAGTGCTAAGTTAAGTGCTGGGCTACTAATCAAAACATTGGCAGTTCAAATCTACCTAGTAGCTACATGGAAGAAAAGCCTGGTGATCTGTCTCTATGAAGATTATAGATTATATAAACCCACATGGTTAATATGAGTCTCAATCAACTTGTTAGCACTCAACAACAATAAATGCCTAGGGATGAGATTAATGGGTCATGAGTTAGTACATGCTCTGTTTCAGTAGACACTTTAAGGCCTTATCTTTCACAGATGCAAACTTACCATCTGCCCGGAGCATCCAGCTTATGTTCATCAAAAGTGAATACTCATCTGGCACAACATGGATTTTTACAGGTTCCACTCGGAGGTCCCGTAAGTCTCCTGGGGTCAGAGTATGTTGGACCTTCCACTCTGGAGATGGCCCTAGGAAAAATCAACACTCGCCCATGGCAATTCCCTTCTGGGCCTGGCTAATGCTACTGTCACTCCTCCAAGTGACCTGCCCACCTAGCCACTTTCACAGTGTACCTCCCCCTCCTTGTGAAGGCAGACGGTTCTCGGTGCTGACTGCTGACCTTAGAGATGCACTGTCAATCTCCTAGCCCTGATAAGTGGGACAGAGCACTTGGTACCTTCTAAATGCCTCTGTGTGTGTGTGTGTGTGAGTACAAGGGAGCTTCAAAAACTACATGGAAAAAATTTCATTCTCTTTCCATTCCATTGTTCCACAAATTTCAAGTCCCTTCACCCTTCCTATCCACGTTTCTTGGGAAGAAGTCAACCCATTCTTCAAACACTACCATTTCAACCACCCCTCTTCTGTAAGCTTTTCTTCCTGTACAATTTGAAGTGGCCCTTCCTCCCACAGCTCTTGCTTTTCCTCTGAGGTGTGGCAGGCATCATCCTGCAGCTTTGCATGACTCCCGCCCTGCCTATTCTGCCTTCCCGTCTGAATCACCTATTTATTTCCTGGGGGTTCCGCCTTGGGTGGACAAAAGCTTCATCCGCATCAGCTAAGACATGGCTCGCCCTGTGCCCAACTGCTGAGGGCCTATTGTTATCTGGATTCGAGCCCCCTAAAGGTCTACGAGGAGGTTTCAAAAAGTTTGTGGAAAAATAGAATGAAAAGATAATGGAACTTATCCACAAACTTTCTGAAGTCCCCTTGTACTTTCAGTGTAAAATCCCAAATACCTATTCCCTAATGCACCTACCGTTTTCAGAGCCACACTGAATAGTCTGTAAGACAGAAAGAAACCAAGGATCATGCTGAATGCTAACACACAAGTTTCTATTGCTAAAGTAGACAAAACTCCATCTTTTTGTCCTTAGATACATACACAGGCAACAAAATTTTCAAAGAAAAGATGAGCTGATTCCATTCCACATGTTTGGTATTAACTGTGAATAAGCTCCCCCATTTTAGGCACACTAGGAGGCACGGTGGAGTAACCTCAGACTTGCCATTCACCACTCTTAACAGTCAGATGTAGATCCCAACCCCTCTTGTCCTCAGTCTTTCCAGCTGCAAATTGAGACTGTGGACTGTCCTGAAGGCCCCATTCACACTCTTAAGTAACTCCCTAGGTTTACAAGGCAGTTTGTTTAAAGTACAGGCAGCACTAAGAAGATTATAAAAAGAAATGAACAAATGCAGCCCCTCTGCCTTCCTCTTGTACTACAAAAGGACTTGCCTTGGGTATTTAAAGCAAGTTGTCGGATGTGCAATTGTGATTTCATCATGCTCTCATTTTTTTTCTTTCCTCAAAAAGTAAAATATCATCAGTATCTCAGAAAGGCCAGTATTAAACCCTCTGGAGTTAACTGCTCGTATCTTTTCGTAAGAAACAAAATAACCAGCACTTCCGTTTTGTAATAAAATACTAAACCTAACAGGTATAACTTTTGGCAGCAGTTAAGTTTCAGTGACAAAGCTCATTGTGATAAATCCACCTGTCTGGGACTTGACTCCTCTTAGCCTCCATGATACTAAATGCTTTGCAAGATAGAACAAGACCGGATGGTTTGAGTAAACTGCATTAGGGTGAGATCACTAACCATTTACCTTTGTCTCTTTTAAAGCTGAATTCACGGAATATCCTCAGTTTTAAAAACAATATGCCACCAAACTAGCTGAGTTCTTGTCAAAGGACTGGTGAGGCAAGTTTTAATAAGAAGCAGAGCAATAGCTCTAAAGCTTTTCAGGGCTCCAAACGTAGCCTTACATAACAACTAAGCAAAGAGAGTGATATCCCCCTCTGGTGGAAAAGGTATCTCCAAACTGAGACTAAGGACAAAGATTTTAGAAGCTGGAGACATAAGGTTTGTGAATGAAGTAAATGGGGTTCCTCTTTCCATTGTTGTTACTAAGTTTGGACTCATAGGGACTGCAGTTTCCGAGGAGCTTCCTGTGGGTTTCAACTGCCAAGCTTGTGGCTAGCAGTCCAGGGCTTAGGATTTCCATAACCGCCAATAAACACATCATGGATTTGGTAGCGTAGTGATTACGAATCGGGCTGCGAACCTTAAGACCAGCAGTTTGAAACTACCAGCCGCTCCATGGGAGAAAGATGAGGGGTTCTGCTCCCGTAAAGATTTACAGCCTCGGAAAACCTGTACAGGGTCGCTATGGTTCGGAACTGACTCGACGGCACTTAACAACAACAACATGTGATGCCATATGCCATATGTTGTTACTGAGTGCCTTTGAGTCAATTCTGACCCACAGAGACCCAGTATAGGGTTTCCAAGAGCAACTGGTGATTTTGAACCACAGTCCTTGTGGCTCAAACCAACCTCGGGATCCTGCGTTTATTTTACAATGTCACACAGGGATATAGTGCTATTTTGGGGATGATCTTTTTGGTTTTTAGAGACCCATTAGGTTCAATCCATCAAGACACCTGGAAAAAACAAAATGAAACCTGCCCACAGGTGCATAAATCAACCTGGCAGAAAAGCAGCTGGAATTGGAGAGGCAGCTCTTGTGAACCACAGGTGAACAAACCTCAAGTTCCAAGTAAGAACAAGACAGAGCAACTATTACTATGTGCCAGGCTCTGTGCGCTGCGCTGTGGTTCACATGGGACTCTGGTGAGTTAGGTATCAACCCTCTTACAGATGAAGACAACGAGGTTCCGTAAATATAAAAGACTGATAAAAAGCACACGGTGGCACTTGAGACGCCAGGGCTGTCTGATTCCTACAACCTTGACTGAGGGGCCTAAGCCCTTTGTGCGGGCAGCAGCCGGCTGGATGGAGGCATGAAAACCGACGAAGGTGCACCGAGGATGCAAGCCTGCTTCCTCCAGGTGGCCCTCCACAACGCCCTGGAGCAACGTGCGTAGGTGGGTGGGCGACGGTAGTCCGGTCCGGGCTCACGGGAACCGAACGCACAAATGGTGCGCGGCGGGGGCTTACCGGCTCCGGGGACGCGACTCCCCAGCACAGCGCGGCGAGGCTCAGCAGCACAATAGACATCGCGGGTCATCGCCTGCCACACTGCACCGGCTGCAGCCTGCCGCGCTCTTATCCCAGTACCCCGGGCCGCCCCCTCCGGGCTCCGCCCCTGGCGGCGCCACCGGAGCCCCGCGCCCCCTCTCGGGTGGGGTGGGAGTCGCAGCGCCCCCCGCCTGCCTAGACGCCAAGAGATGGGCGGGTCCGAACGGCCCTTAGTGGGTAGAGCACGTGCGTGCCGGACGCCAGGTACGCCGTTTGAACCCACACCCTGTGGCCCCGCGTACAGGGCCCCGCCGCGTTCCGAGCTCTGGCCGGCCTGGTGCTCCAGTCCTCGCTAGGGGAGCGACCCCAGACCGAGAGGCCCGCGGGTCCCCGCCCGCCCGGCGCCGCCAGTTGAAGTGCAACGGGGCAGGGCCGGTCACCGCCTTTTCACGCTCCTCCTCCGCACAAGCGGGCGCTCCGGACACTCGTTACGAGCTCCGAGGTGAGTAGCCGGGAACGCGCCCAGCTCAGCCCGAGGGCTGCAGACGCGGAACCCCGGCGGCCGCGGGCTGGTGGGTTGGTGGGTGAGTCGGGAGGACCCGGACCAGACTCTTAAGACTGAGGCCCCGCTTTACACAGTGGCAGAGTCCCCGGAAACCAAAAGGGCTTGGGCGGTGGCAATTGAAACCTCACTGCGTTCTTCGGGGGAAAACTAGCCGCCGCAGAAACAAAATTATTAGGGTAATAGAAACCCCTACTCCGCCCCCAAGTGTACTGGTAAATGCTATTTCCACAAAATGAGGTCTGACTGTAACGCCTTGGACTCCGAAAGCGGAACCCTAACCACTTGTTTTGGAGTTGCGGTTCTCAAATTTCACTGTGCCTAGATCTCTGAACGTTTCCTAAAATGCAGATATTGGGGCTGCCTCTGCAAGTTTTGGACCGCCAGGGGTCTGCATTTTAACAAGCTTTCTCAGCCTTACTGGCGGAAATGATCCATACACTACTCTTTGAGAAACTAAACGGTTTGGGAGAAGGTTAAAAATCCAGGTGGATTAATATATTGATTGTTGTTAAGTGCCGTCGAGTTGTTTCCGACCCATAGCGATCCTGTATCGGGTTTCCGAGGAGCAGCTGGTGAGCTTGAACCGCGGACCTTGCCGTTCGAACGGGTGCTGATTGCGGCGCCTTAACCCACAGTACAGCAATAGAGCTCGGAACGCGTCTACTTCAGCCCTCTCACTAAATAATAAGCTTGGTGGTAGCCATGTCAGCTTGTAGCTCCATTCTACAGATGAGAAAACAAAGGCCTTGAGAGGGATGTGGGATTCATGGCTGGGGTTGTCAGCTCTAGAGAGTTTGATCTGAATCCAGCTGACTGTGGTTGCTAGGGTCCTACTACGTGTGTATACAGTAGTGCCCAGTCCCCAGCCTGGAGGCCAGCAGGGTCCTCCAGCACTTATACATGGGGGGTTGCAAGTGGTGTTTCCAGAGTATCAGTCTGGTTTCTGATGAGGAAGGGGTACTCATGAGGTTGTGGTTGTTTAGTACTTACTTCTGGTGGCCGGGCCACCCTGCACCCCTTGCCCAACCACTCAGAGTGGCTTTTGAGCCCTTTGGTTTCAGAGGTCACTTTTAGCTCTAAAAGTCTTTCCTGCTCACCAAACATTTCCCATGTGCCAGGCAGCCTGCCAGCTATTGTGGTGCAAAGGTGAATGACAAGGATGTGCTGTTGGACTGAAGGTGAGCCAGTAAGATGTTCAGGACCATATTCCCTGTCACGGAAGAGCAGGTGGAATTCGCCTCATCTGCTCCTTTGAAACTGTGAACTTTGTCCTGTGGACAAAGTGATTGCAGAAGAGGTTTAAACTGGTTTTAGAAGGGCAGCCTGGGTAGCTGTGCTTGGTCAGGGAGGGGGTGACTAGCCCCTCTGAGGCCAGCAGGGAAGGAGGTGTAACCAAAATGCATTTTACTCCATGAGTATCTATAGCTGGCTTATAGCCAAGTATGCAAGCAAGTCCTGTCATTGTGAAGGTGAATTTTGGGCACAACGGTAGACAAAGAGGTTAGGCCTGGAGATGGGATTTGGGAGGCAGCTACGTAAAACCAAAACACAAAAAAATCTCCATGAAATCAATTGCTGTGGAGTCAATTCCAGCCTATGGGAAACCCTTGTGTGTCAGAATTGTGCTCTATTGGTTCATCCCAGTGGTTAATTTTTCTTCTGAGTCTCCTCTGAATGGACTCAAACCTCCAACCTTCGAGTTAGCAGGTCTTAACCTTTTACACCATCCTGGGACTCGCAGCCATTGATGGGGGTCAATTAAATCCCAGTCCCAGTATTGGTGGAGAGGAGGAGAGGACACAGCCCTGGGGTAGGAGAGCTGCTTGAGACTAGGAGGGGCTGCACCTGGAAAACCTAGGCATGAGTTCGGACAAGATGACTAGGAGTGGCCTGACCTGGCACAGGTCTCTGGATGAGGTGATGCCACTCAGGGGTGGCCTTGCCAAGAGGGGCCAGAGTGGGCATGGGAGGAAGTGAGCTCAGAGATGGGAGAGACTGAGGTTCCTTCTCCAGGAAAGGTAGCTAGTGGACAGAAGAGAGAAGAAGGTTGAGGTGAGGGTGGTGTGGAGGTAGTTGAGTGTGTGGCTGGAAGAATGGATAGGGAGAAGAATCTGGGTAGGGAGTGCCAGGTATCATATCAGGACATAGCTTGGATCCAGGATTGGGTGTGACACTGCCTGACCCTGGCCCTCTGGGCTTCCTCAGTCAGGACTTCAGGGTGGAGGCCCTGCAGGCCCAGCTGCTGAGCTGCAGAATATACCCATCTGTCTCATTGTGGGTTTTAGTTCTGGCTCAAAAGATCTTTTCAACAACTGTCTCCTGGGAGAGCCCCTTGTCGAATTAAACATGCAGCTTCCTACACTTGGAATGCCTAAATCTAATACCTTTATGACTTTGTAGACTGGAGGCAGGGCCACCACAAGCTGAAGGTCTCAACTTTCTCATCTTGTGACCTTGGGCAAGTCACTGCCCTTCTCAGAACCTCACTTTCTTTTTCTGGTGAGACCGAGTAGTGATGCTGGCTCAATAATGGGACTTGAGTCTCTATAGTCCGAATCTTGCCAAGTATGGATTGCTGAAGGAGTCGCCCCTGCACAGTGGCCTTCATATCCTGGTACTAAGTAGGTGCTTATTAAAGTGTTTGAATGAATAACTAGTGATTGTCTGAATGCATACAGACCATCCCCTCCAGAGCCACTTGGATTCCAGACCTCCTGCCTCTGCTACTACCAGCTGATGCCTTTGAGTGTGTCTATTGGTTTCTTGGAGTCATAAGTTTCCCCATTTGTAACCACTTGGCAGGTCTGTTGAGTGGCCATGTCTGTGGGCTTTCCTGGGCCAGCCCCTGCTTCTTGGACAGGGGACTCAGAAAAGATAGGAGATGGGAAAAGTAAGGTGAAGGATTTAAACATGCTGTGTAAGTGTAGCAGTTGCAGATGGGTGGGAGTGGACAGGACAATTTTTAAAAACCCAGCAAAATGACTAATATTATCTCTGTGACCCAAATAAATAAATTCCCTGGGACCCATGAGTAACCGCCACCCCCAGGTGTCTATTCAGACCTTGTCCTCTCTGCCCCAGTCATCCTTGATGAGACAAGACAATCAGGGTTGTTGACCCGCCCTGGGCCAGGCTTAGTCTCCGCCCACACAGGTGGAATTTTCCACTTCTTTCCTCTTGCAAATATTAATCAAGGCCCCTGGCCAGTCAACAGTGGACTCTTTGTCTCATGAACTGTAGTGAACAGCAAGCCATTTCTGGCAAATATTGGCTGCCTCCCAGCACCCTCACTCCTCAGTGCTGCCCCAACCCCCCTGTTCTGCTCCAGCTGTCTGGCCTTGGCAGACTCCCTCAAGTCATACTGAGGGTAGGGGACATAAGCCACACTGTCTCCACAGGTCCATAACACTGCAAGCATTTACTCAGCTCCAGGATGCAGGAACCATCCCAGGAAAGCCCACAGACACGGCCTCTGTGTTCACCCAGCTTTAGTCCTTCTGCTAGTTTCCCAGGACAGAAACTTGTAAGATGACGACAACCTGAGTATCTTGTTAGTGGCGCTAGTCCTCAACCTTGCTTATTCCCTGTGATTTTGCTGTTGACTTTCCTGTGCATTACCCCTTTGGGACCTTAAAGAAAATCAAGAAGGCTGATACAGCAGGCACTGTTGTGATTTTCTGAAAGCCTCAGCTCCAGAGGGGGCTGGTGGAGTTGGCTTCATAGGATTTGTAAGTAAATTACTCAGAATTTCAAGGGCACAGGGTTGGCACATGGAGCAGGACTCTGTAAAGGGTTGGTGGTATATTCTTTTCATCTATGATATTTTAATTAGTATGTTATTAATATATTGGTAACAGTCTTGGTGTGGCGCTGTGGGTTAATGCACCAGACTGCAAAGCCATTTGAACTGCAAGGTTGGTGGTTCAAGCTCACCAGCTGCTCCTTGGAAACCCTATACAGGACTGCTGTGGGTCGGAATTGACTCGATGGCACTTAAAAACAACAATAAGAGTTGCAGTGCTTGGAGCTGTGGATTGAGGAAGCAGCATAGCTGTGCAGGAAGTGAGTAGGGTGTGGATTGATCCCGGGCCAAGCTGGGAGCTTTAATTCAATCCCCGTGCAGTTTTGACTTTTCACTTTTAATTCTTTGAAGATTGTTTTTGGGTATTCTTTTCCTTTGCCCTCAAAACAAACGTACAAAATGAGCATCTGTATTCCCATTATATAGATAAGGATGCTGACTGAATGGTTGTGGGTCACAGCATGAGTGATGGCACAGTTGGGACCTCACACAAGGATCTTATCCACCGGCTCCTTTTCTAAAGTTGTTTGAACATGTTGTTGTTGTTAAGTGCTGTCGAGTTGATTTCGACCCATAGAGACCCTGTATTGGGTTTCTAAGGAACAGCTGGTTAGCTTGAACTCCCTACCTTGCAGTTCAAACAGCTTTGCAGTCTGGCACATTATATGTAAA